AAAAAAAAGGAAAGTTCTTCTTTAATCGAAAATAAATTTTAAAATCTACCAAAATTCATTCTGATCATTTACAAGCTAAAACAATCTGTTTGCAAATTTTTGAGACCCAATGTTGGATGGAAGGGAGGAACTCAAGAAAGAAAAGTTAGTCGAAGTTTTCAAGAAGATGAAACGCTGCCAGGAGCCCTTTCTTATCTGCTGCAAGTTCCTGGGCGAGGAATTAAAATGTTTTTATGGGCAGAATGAAATCGGTCGTAATATTTTCTCCACGTGATTTTCGGGTCACTCTGTGCAATAAATATTCTTGATGCAAATGTATACATTCAACTGTTCGGAACTTCGGAACGATAGGAGTCAACGACTGATTTTACAGTGTGCATTGAACTTTTTGCTTATAAAAACCTTCAAAACTCCTGGGTCAGAAACCCGCAGCAGATAAAAAAGGTATATTTAAAACCAGCCTTTCGTACTCTTCAAGACAGTATATATGTCATACAGAAGGTCCACTTCGACTGACTTTACTCCCTTTGTAAGTAAGTAATAGAAATGGAAAGCAATATGAAGGGTAAGGTACATTAGAAATCCATGATAAATTGTCAGAAAATATCATATAAAATGGAATAAATGGTTTTGGCTGCACTGAATGCGCAGTAAATATAGATAACAGAAAGTGCAAGGACTGATATCACTCCGATTTTCAGGTAAAGTTGTCCGAGCTTGTTGTACACAAATATAAAAAGCAGCATAAAATGGAAACGAAAAGAAAAAAATGGAAAGATGCGACTAACCATCTCTTCCTTATTTGATGGTTCTACAATGATACTTTCTTCTGTGGAGGGTGGAGTGGAAGCTCTCCGTAGTTCATCAATTTCGCTTTGTGCAGAGACAAGTGAAGCAGTTAACGTTTCTACTTCATGCATCAGATTATACGAGTCTCGAGTCTTTTCTTCAAGCTGAACCAAACGAGTGAGAAAAACCAAATAGGTTCAAGATTTGCGAACTGAAGTAAAAGCATACCGTCACTCTCAAACTGACAATGGTCTGCTCTAGCTGTAAGCATTTAGCATTGTCTACACCGATTTTTTGCTTTGCTGCGCGTAACTGGACGTTTTCTTCTTCTAACTCATTCAATATTTCATCCTTGTTGACAATACTGGCCCGCAACCGTGTTACTTCCTAAAATTCCAAAATTGTTACTTCGCAAATTTCAATGAGAATAAATGGTTCACGTTTCACTCACCGCTCTCAGCTGGTTATTCTCATCATCCAGTTCTATTAATTTCTCTTTGACTACATCCGGCAGCTCCATAGCACATTCACTAACAAGTATAGCTAAAATGCTATTTTACTTTGAAATGGTATAGCCGTCTTCGAAAAGCGGAAACAAACATGAACAAGACCAAGTAAAGAAAAAGATAGCACGAGCCAAATTTGGATAAAACTGATGCGGGCTTAATTCTGTTAACGATTCACAATGTATCAAAAGGGTTTTGAATATCTTTGCAGAAGAGAACATATCGGTAATCCAGAGACCAAGTAACTTCAATTGGATCTATCATGAACGAGTAAGAAATAATGAAACATTTTGTTAGAACTGCTAGTCAAAATTTCAAATCTGGCGCTGCAAAGCAACGCAAACTTGCGACGTTGTATTTGTGTAAGTTTGCGTCAGCTGCGGATTGGGATGGCCAAAATGTGAGTGGCATCGCTATGTAACCTTTGAACTCTAAGAAGATCCTTAACAGTACTTACTTACTTAGATACTTAGATGGCCCGTCCTCA